AGACTCTTCTAGTCCCTGTGGAGTCCAGTACACTGACACAGCCCAGTCACAGGGCTCTAGACTCTTGTAGCGGAGTCCAGTACACACTGACTCTAACAGAGCAGTCATGAGATCATGAGAAAGATTCTGAAATGCAGCATAAGCACATCGGTCTCAGCCAGATAACATCTTGCGCAATGGATCAGAATGCTCACGAAGCCCTTTTCCCCTCTGTGTTTTTATGACTAAATCTCTCAAGTGTGATTAGACTACAGGGTCAGGGCGCCCTAAATCCAATAAAACACAGTCTTGTGTGTACAGCACATGGAGCGTTTTTAGATCCTAATCAAGAGGACAGAAGTTTAACTCCTCATCACCCACACCCTTGCTGCTTTCCCATTATTCCCATCTGGGAACGGAGCGCCAGTATGTGGCGCACGGCAGGCGGCGGCGGCGGCGGCGATGACTCACGGGGTGGATGTCGATGAAGAGGCCGTGCTCCTCCTCGCTGGGGCTCAGCCCGAGGACGAACTCCCGCAGGACAGGGTCGCCGTTAAGGAAGTGAGGGTGGGAGAGGAACGAAGGGGAGTCTGCAGAAAACACAACCAACCGCCAGGTTTCCGAAAGGCACACAAGCACTCGTGCCCCCTGTGCATGCACTACTATGAACACACCCCCATATGGACATCACTATCAGGACACCCCCATATGTGAGCCCCATTACACACAACCAACTCCATAAGACCCCAAACATGCAGCCTATCTGCACACCCTTGTAATCGAACCCCCGTATGCACACCTCTAGGTGCACACCCCCATACTGTACCTGTACAGGATATCACTGGCAATCTATAATCTTCACCTTTTTTGCAAAGGCTCATATCAGGCAAGGCATTAAATTAATAACACGCACATCCCTCCTCATTGCCTACGTGACTTACAACCCGTTTATTTGCCTGTGCCGGAGCCCGTGCCAGACCCGGCGCCTGTCGGGAAGGGCCGGGAGATCGAAAGTACAGAAGCTCTCACCGTGTCTGCAGGTGCTGACGTTCATGATGCCCGACTGCCTGCAGGGGCAGAAGCCCTCGTTGGGGGGGTAGTCGGTGCCATTGGCGAACAGGGTCTTGGGCGCCACGTAGCGAAAAATGGGAATGCCAGCCACCTCTCCGGGCCGTTGGTACTCCAGGTCCATGGATCTGAGAGACAGACGGAACAGGACCACCGGGGTAAACATGGTGACTGCACAGACTAGTGTTACTATATCGGCTTGATACTCGTGGACCACTTACTGTAGGGGTACATTATTGTAGGGATCAGTTACTGTGGGGGTGTATCATTGTGGGGTTCAGTTACTGTAGGAGTACATTCGTGTAGGGATCAGTTACTGTAGGGGTGTATCATTGTGGGGTTCAGTTACTGTAGGAGTACATTCTTGTAGGGGTCAGTTACTGTAGGAGTACATTCTTGTAGGGGTCAGTTACTGTAGGGGTACATTGTTGTAGGGGTCAGATACTGTTGGGACATATCACTGTAGGGATCAGTTACTGTAGCGGTGTATCATTGTGGGGTTCAGTTACTGTATTGATCAGTTCCTATAGGGGTGTATCATTTTGGGGGTCAGTTACTGTAGGAGTACATTCTTGTAGGGGTCAGTTACTGTAGGGGTGTATCATTGTGGGGTTCAGTTACTGTAGGGATCAGTTACTATAGGGGTGTATCATTTTGGGGTTCAGTTACTGTAGGGGCGCTTCATTGGAAGGGTCGTTATCATGGTGCCATATCGTCGTAGGGGACTGTTAACTTGAGAGCATACCTGCAGGCGTCAGGGCTATAGAAAGGAAGGGTTGTCTCCTTGGTCATGAAGGGGGGCCACATCTGTCCAGCTGTGCCGTTAATCATGTTGCACTGCCTGGAGTTCCAGTAGTTCACCTGCGGAAGCAACCAGTAACCTTGCGTCATGCAGAAGCCCTTCATGTGCCCTCCTCCTCACCATGTCGGCCTGTGCAAATGTGTTACTCCCTGGTTCTGTCGTGCTTGGAGCTGCAGATGAGCAGGAGGACTAGCCTGTGGCGGGTCACACCTACAATCACCTGACATTCCGCACAGGTTATCATGGTAATTAATTCGACAAGAGTCTTGTACCACCTGGAGATGATTATTCACCATGCCCGCCTCAGGTGGTTCAATCTACTCAAGCGGTGATCTGGCAGTAAACAGGAACTTTGTCACAGAGTTCACCCTGTTATGCATCACCACTTGTATTGAGGACCCATTAGATTTGTTTCATTTTCCTGAGCTCTTGCCGTTCTGTTTCCTGGTTTCTGGACCCTCACTTCACCCTCATTACATTCCTTGGATATTTCCCTTGGCACTGGGCTTCTGTGTTTACCTGGCTCTGAACCTCGCCTGCTTGGAGTTCACTCTGGACAGTGTTTGCCTATACCGTGCTGGCAGGTGCATGCCAGCCTGTCCCTGGTGCTTGCTGTAAACAGGGTCCTGTTTGCTCGCGGAGTGGAGCAAAATCTGCCTGCCTTTGGGTTTATTTGACTATTGCCATTTTCTTAACTATCGCCAGCCGCCGCATATTACAGGTGCACACCAATTTCCAGAATCAATCCAACAAGTGCGGATAGATTTTAATCTGCTCACCTCTTTCAGGCCATTCCACGAGTCGACCTTATGAACTTTCCTGATGTCGTCCACTCCGGTGAACACCGTGAACAGGCCTGTGTTGGAGTTATTGAACTGCAAAGCAGAAAAAAAAAGAAGGGACAAGTGGTCTTTCTGGTCACTGGCAGGGATGGTGCCGACACACAGAGACCTGCAGGGACAGGGGTGAAGCAGTACTCACTTCTGCAAAGAGGCCGAATTTCCCCTCGACCGGCATCATGTTGGGGAAGTACTGCTTGAGGAAATCCACCAGCTTGCTTTCGTAGCCCCACATCAGCTCCCCCACTGTCTTTGTGAGGAAAGGGCCTTCTTTAAAAGCCTTAAAGGTGGTGCTCACCATGATCCTGACAAAGTAGGGCATGTCCTCCATCATCACTGCGGCGCCCTGCAGGGGGAGCAAGCGAGCACACAGCGCGGGGGGGTCAGAGGTCAGGGTGGTCATGGGGCTTCAGTGCTTCAGCCCCACCAGCAGCACCGCCCTGCTGCCCGTATGGAGGCCCAACACCTACCAGCACCAGCATGTTGGGTACCGTGACGACATCCGACTCGTTCCCGACAGACATGTTCCGCCAGAAGTGGTACTGGCGGTATTCCCTGTAGGACACGGTCTTGTTGTCATGGAAAGTGATGTTATGCTTCTGGCGGTATTCCCTGGAAAAGAAAAACAAACGGGACTGGAAAATGGTGGAAAGCACTTATGGGGACTCCCAAATTCGCTTTAGCCACCTAACAAGCCGGATGACCCTTGTCTGTTCGCTGGCAATCAGCAGGATTGATTTTAACGCTTCAAAGGACGACAACAAGTATTTTGTCAAAGTCATCATGGAAAATCAGAATGAACCCGTTGAAATCACTAAAATAGAGGACCTTATACAAACTCTCAAAAACCTCAAAAGCACTGATAAGATTCAATCCAGCCAACATCTTGAGAATGAACAGTGAAACACAAACCAGAGGGCACAACTGGAAGCTACATGAAAGTGGGTTTAAAACCAATAATCGGAGGTCCTTCTTTACGCAAAGGGTGGTGGGGGTCTGGAACAGTTATGTTGTTGCTATCCTGGTTTCTTTCAAGAAACAGCTGGATGAGATTCTGGTATCAATTAATGGCTAATTACCAAACTGGCTGGATGGGCTGAATGACTTCTCTCATCTCATAATGTGCGTGATCATTATGTTCTTACACGCACACCCACAATACGTAAAGGAATCTTCTAAAAAAACAACTGAATTTCTTGTCAAGCACTGCAAGTGTCAATGATTTCAAAGCCTTTTGATTTGATGCAATAAATCAGCATGAACCTTGCAAATACCACTGGAGGTTTTTGGGGAAGCACAAGTCAAATGACTGGACCCTGAGGTCCAAAGGCTCCTCCCTGCCCACCACAGCCAGCACATGACACCACAGGCATCAAGCAGGCAGAACTTCTCCACGCAAGGCACGCCAGGCCCAGCGCACGCCATGTTGAGGTCATCAGATTCTCTAGCTTTAAAAACCGCTGATGCAAGTTGTGGAGCCGGTGTTGTGTAAGACTTGGGACTTGTGGTGACTGTCCAGCACTGTCTACTCCATTGTCCTGAAACTACCAGCGGCGACAGCAGCGCAGTTCCTCTGAGCTCGGGTTAACCACTGCTTGCACAGCAACCACACGGGCAAGGGGCCGATTGAGCAGAGAGAGAGAGACAAAATCGACTCCCGGATACCAGTAGGGAAGGTCTCCACCTCTAGACCACATGTTACTTACACTTCTGCTGGTGGGAGAAAAACAAGTGAAACAGCCACCCACATGCCATCCTCACACCACCCTCCCCCGCCACACG